GAACGATCTAAATAATTCTAGACAGTTCTAAATGATTCTACATACTCCTAAATGATTCTGGGGCATTCTAAATAATTCTAGACAGTTCTAAATGATTCAGGAGCTTTCTAATTGGTTCTAGTCACTCCTAAGTTATTCTGGAACGTTCTAAATAATTCTGGACAGTTCTAAATGATTCTACATACTCCTAAATGATTCTGGAACGTTCTAAATAATTCTAGACAGTTCTAAATGATTCTACATAGTCCTAAATGATTCTGGAGTATTCTAAATAATTTTAGACAGTTCTAAATGATTCTGGAGCGATCTAAATAATTCTAGACAATTCTAAATGATTTTCATGTAATTGTTCTGATTTTATTTCCAAGTGTACGAGTAGTTTTTGTACTTTTCGTCTGTTTTAGATAGTTTTTTCGTGCGGTTTCTGTATGTTATCAATTTCTCTTGCGTTTTTATGCGTTTTTCGTGAGTTTTTATTGTAATTTTCGTGCGTGTGTATTATATTCCAATTAAATTAATACTCCTGATGTTCTTTTTCATGTTTAAATTTTACTATTTTACTTCTTTTAATTTGTAAACATTGAAAGTATACATAACCTTAAATTAAATGTATCTGTCATACAAAGAATTTCATTTACAACCGGCAACGTTGCAACAGGCCGATTCTTGACGTCATTGTCATTTTACTTAAAATATTTTCTGTATGAATAAAAAATAAAAATTGTGATAATTAAGTAAATGCTATTGAATCATTCTCTTAATTACGCGTCCAATTGTTTACGACGAGTTAATTGCGGATACTAATTAATGTCGAAATTAATTAAAATCGCGCGTTACTAATTATCGCCTTCCTTCGTTTTATTTCACCGACGTAACTCCGCATATTTTACCATTGGAGAAAGCAAAGAAAGTACCCCGTCGATCGCGAAAATGTTTCATTTTGTTAGATAATTCGAGGAACCGGTGGAAATGACGTGGAAAAACGTGTAGAAAACTAACCGGAATCGAATCGATTCGGCACGTAAATTGCCTATAGGTATGTAACGTTGCATTTCCAACGATCTTATCGGCATTTCGATTTTCAGAAGCAGTTAAGTGCATGAAAAATTCAGAGTGGAATTTTATTAGGTGCTTTGTAACACCGTGAAGGTCGCGTAGGGACAATTAAAAGACGCTTACTGAACGGTTGCATCACTACAATTGACTTACAATAGAGGACTTTTAATACAAATTTAATCGCACGTATTTTTTCTCTAAGGTTCTTTAATCGAGTGTGCTATTATTTACATACAGTGCATTTCTTTAATGTTTCCCCCCCTTTTATTTTTTGAACGGATCAATTTAGAAAATTGAAATTTAGGATAACAAAACTAATGCATGATTACTATATTTTGGAGTAAAATTGACAGATGAAAATTTCAAGATGGCGCCTGGGCGCCATCTTGGGAAATAAATTTAAATGGAAAGGGAGGTCTTGTGACACATCATTTTGAAGCTCCTGATAAATACTGTACAACTCTGAAATATAAAGTCAATATCTGCACCCATTACAAAATGGCGGAACATTTAATAATTACCTGAATACAAACAAATTAATATAAATTTTTCTAGAATTATTTGTTTTTCTATGCCAAATAGCAATCCCAACAAACCGATAAGGTTTGACAGGTTATTTTTGGTTAAAAAAATTCCAAAAAATTTTAGTACGTCAACGAACATTAATTGTTTAGTCAAAATATTTTCATTTAGTTTTTGGCTTTTCTTGTGTTTAAAATATATTCATTCAGGTGCAGGTCAGTCAGGTGCAGATATTGACTTTATATTCCAGGGTTGTAGAGTATTTGTCAGGAGCTTCAAAATGATGTATCACAAGACCCCCCTTTCCATTTAAATTTATTTCCCAAGATGGCGCCCAGTCGCCATCATGAAATTTTCATCTGTCAATTTTTCTCCAAAATATAGTAATCATGCATTAGTTTTGTTATTCTAAATTTCAATTTTCTAAGTTGATCCGTTCAAACATTAAAGAAATGCACTGTATAATCAAAATTTAGCTACAAAAAAAAATCCGAACCGTGTCAAAATTGTTAAAAAATAATATACCTACTCCACATATGAAATTAATGGCTTGTTAATCAACTTATTTAGCATAAAATACTCAATAATATGAACAATTTCAAATCTATCCCGTTGAGGAATTAACAAAAAAAACCATAATTCAACAGGTATCGCAGACATCTAGGCACATTTTCCGTATCGAATTAATTCTTTGACCCGGTTTTTATCTCGGCTTGAACCCGTTCTCTATGGGTTTAAGTTCACGACGGTACCGCTATAGCCGGATAATTAACGTTTTTTCACTAATTCAATCGTTAGCGAAAAATACCGAAACGCATAATGATTTTATAATAAAATTGTGACGCAGCTATAACTGTATCAATACTATACATGGTGTTTGTAAATTGCATGTACGTATGTACATATAATCTGAAAGCCAATGGAAATTGAATAATTATACATAGTTTTATTTATTTTGAATCGACTGCATAGTCGACTCATTTAGAGCAGTTGAAAACCATTTAGAACTGTCCAGAATCATTTAGAATTATTTTACAACTGACTAGAGCGGCTTGGAACAGTTCAGAACAAACTTAGAACCGTTTAGAACTGGACAAAATTATTTGGAACAAATTCAGAAGTATTTGTAAGAGTTCAGGATACTGTTACAAAAGTACATAGCAATTTTGAAAGGGTTATTTAAAACTGTTCAAAACCATTTAGAACTCTCCAATATATCTTTTAGAGCCATTTTAGGACTAGGACTGTTTAAAACTGTTTAGAACGATCCTAGAACTGTTTAGAACTGTCCAAAATGATTTGGAACAGATTTAGAAGAATTTGTAATGGTGCTGGATAAACTAGTACAGAACCATTTTAAAAGGGTTATTTAAAACTGTTTCATTCAGAACCGTCTAATATCATTTAGAACCATTTTGGAAATGACTAGGACTATTTGAATAAGTTCAGAACGATCTTAGAACTGTTTAAAACTGATGTGCAAAATCATTTGGAACACATTCGGAAGTATTTATATTGATTCAGGATAAATTCTCTAGAAAAGTACGGAACATTTTTGAAAGGATTATTTAAAATTTTTCCACTGAAAGGACTAATTTACTGAAAAATCGTCGTCTGATTCTATCATCAAAATCAATTTCAGTTGTACAAACTCAATTTCAACTTATAAATGTCAATTTGAACTGTCCAAAATCAGTGAGAACCTCCCAAAAAGATTGAGAACAGATTTAAAACTTATATGGAACATTCTAGGATAAACTAGAATAGTGCAGAATTATTTAGAACACTTTCGGGACTACACTACACTTTACTACACCTGTTAATATGATCCTTAAGATTTAGATAGAAAAATACTTCTCATATTGATGAAAATTACCACCCAAATGTTTGTACCGTTAGTGAACAGAGGTCAAAAAGTTACAAATCCATTACATACTCATTTATAGCTAGGATAGGCGCATTTGTAGAGGAATGCACAAAAAAAAGTTTAAACCAACAATTACGTATACGTTTAAATAACGCTTTGATCATTTTAAAGGAAATATCACAATTCCTCATATACCATTTAATTAACCGAGCATTTTAACGGATAACTCGGCTTAAACGGTTCGTTAACCTTTCCATCATTAACCAGCTCTTTTGCAACGGCCTTTAAACGTTTCTTAATATCAAACTAATCTCATTAATAATTCACATATTATTACAAAATATCGCGCAAAGAACACGAATAACCTTTGACTGCCAAGTTCAGAAGTGAAATTCTCGAAGAAGAAGAACTCTTACGACTTTCTTAGCTTGTACATTGTTTCGCTTTGTTACGAATTAATCGGAATGTTAATTTTAACAGAAAATATAATGGTCGGATTCACATTCGAGCAATAATTGTATACAATTCCGCAGATTTCTCTCTACTTTTAGTGTTTGTTTTCGATCATAACTAACATTTTGTACTTTCTACGTTATATCATATGTTGCAAGATGATCGCTATACCTGCATTAATTAAGCACCAGATTATTGACTTAAAATTATAAGAGGTTGTTAAATTTAAACAGCCTTATTTATAGTCGTATTTAGTGGCTACTAATACACTACTAACATCCCACTAAACAAAATTGTATTCATAGTTCCATTTAGTGGCTACTAAGATGTTATTTTATTTGTTAGTAGCCACTAAATTTACTAGTGGTGTTACAAGGGGTGTTTAAATTACTTTTGAACATAATTTAATTTTTAAATTAATACATTTACTTCTTCAGCTTCTTACATGCACCTTTTCATAAATATCAAACGGCTAAACTAATACCGATATACTTTATTTCAAAAGCTGGTAGTCCCAATACTTCAAAAAGACTGGCAAAGATGTTAAAAAAAACAGTTTTTAGTTTTTTTAACTATTTTTTGCATTTTGAGAGGAAAAAGGATAAAATTGTTGTACTTTCAAATACCAATAGCTAGTTACCAAAGAGGTATAAACCGTTCAAACTTTGGTATCAAACGTACTTGATCAAAGTGTAATTGGTTAAAAATCATGATATGTCAAATCATGATATCATGATTTTATCATGATATCATGATATCTAATAACGGGTTTCGCCGTAAAGTTTTTTTGTTTTCCCAAAAAGTAAGGTTCACTGAAATTTTATTCTTTTTCCCATCCCATCACCCATTCAATTGATCTCAGCACGTGCGTCTGATACAATAAAGTCAATAACATAACCAAAAGCTCCAATATAAAATAAAATTTAAAGTTATTTCCGTTGTTGCTACATTAATTTTTCTCCTAGCATTATTTTGACTAGTGAGAAAGCAATATGCAAAGAAATATTTATGATGTTAATGGCCACTAACTAGTGGTGTTTTAGCATCATTTTAACGACTACGAACAAGCCTGAAAAAAATCTCTTAAGCTACCGCTACTTACGATAATGGGTAAATGGTAGAACAAGTAGCAAACGATCAGTATGGGATGGATGGTTTCCAATCCGGTCCTGCTGTACTCGTCGTCCCGCGTTTCTCTAATGCTCTCCTCCAAGCAGGGCCTCTTCGAATTCACCGAACTCACCGTATTGGACAAATCCGAGTTCCAATTACCGCAATAATCGCCGTGCCCGAATTGATTCCCATCGTTCGCACCCCTCTGCAACGTGCAGGCATCGTAGAAATCCTTATTATCCTTGCTCAGCGTGTTCTCCAAGCTGAAATCGCTGATGTCCGAATTGGACTTCTTCACATACTTGAAATCCGCCTCGCTCTGGCAGGATTTGTAGCAAACGATGAGGAAACTAGCGAACGATACCACCGACAGAAACATGTGCAAGGCCAGTATGAAGATGTTGAACTTCACGTCCAAATCGAACGGCATGAATTTGCACTCGAAGACGGCGCGCTGGATCAACCTCGGACTGAGCCCGTGCTGGGCCAGCACCGCCGCGACGCCGACGCACGCGCACAACGTCGTCAGACAGAAGACGTGGTAGACCACGTGCGTGGAGGTGAGGCAGCTGCGCAGGTTGCGGCGCTTCTTGTGCAGCTTCAGCGAGAACAGGCCTATCACCGCTACGGTGGTCAGCGAGCTGGCTTGGAACGTGTGGATGGAGTTGAATATCCACACGACGACGCTGCAGTATTCGAAGGAGAACGTCCTGGGGTCCGATAGGGAGTTGACCAGCACGTAGCTGAGCACGCCGAGGTTTCTCATCACGGAGAGGATCAGTATGCAGACGATGGGTATGTCGTACGGGCCCCATTTCTTGCGGTTTTTGTGGAATATCACGATGGTCCAGATCAAGAGGATGGAGACCGTTGGGAGGGCTATGGTGGTTATCAGCTGGTCCATCGAAAATTGCATCATTATGAAAGCGAATCTGCAATAAAATGTGAAAATTTATTAATGCAGCAATCGAAATCGTATATACCGGGTAAGCCCACTGCGATGTGGATATATGGATAACAGAGTTATGTACTTATGTTGTAATTTTATTAGATTGTTTTACTAGATTAGTCAACTTTTTAGATGCTTTTGCAACATTTTCATTAAAAATTTGGTGATTTTTAGGAATATTTTGCACAATTAGTCAAATGAAAAATTCTACATAGTCTTGAAAAAGTTCTTAAAAATGTTGCAAATAGTCCAGAAAGCGTTCCAAACGATTCTGGACTATTTTTAATTTAACCTTGACAAAATAGTCCTGAATCTACTCTAAATGAGAGCTCTAAATGGTCCTTATATCGTCTTGAACTCTTTCAAATGGTCAGAGTTAATTCTAAGATGGTTCTAAACGATTCCTAATACCATTCTTAAAGTTCTAAATAATTCGGGACAATTATTAACAGTCCTGAATCCGTTCTAAATGCTTTTGGGAGTTCTAAATAGTTATAAGATCGCCTGAACTGTTTCAAATGGTTCCCAGTTAGTTCAAAAATGGTTCTAAATGATTCTGGGCAGTTTTAAAAGGACACTAAAAACAATTTCTTCCTGAGAACTTCCAAATAAATCCAAAAAAGTTTTGAACAATTTGAAAACACGAGCAAGTATCTACACCAAATAATCCTAAGAGCATCCTAAATTATTCAGGATTTGTCTAGTTTATCCTGGACCATTTTAAACAGTCCTGAATCCGTTCTAAATGCTTTTGAGAGTTCTAAATAGTTCTAAAATCGCCCTGAACTTTTTCAAATGGTTCGCAGTTAGTTCCAAAATAGTTCTAAATGATTCTAGACAGTTTTAAAAGGACACAAAAAACAAGCACGTCTTCATGAGCACGTCCAAATAATTCCAAAACTGTTTTGAACTATATCAAAAAAACACAAACTAGTATCTACAACAAATAATCCTAAGAGCATCCTAAATTATTCGAGATTTTTTCTAATTTATGCAGGACCATTTTAAACAATCCTGAATCCGTTCCAAATGATTTTGAGAGTTCTAAATAGTTCTAAAATCGCCATCAACTTTTTCAAATGGTTCCCAGATAGTTCGAAAATGGTTCTAAATAACATTTCCAAATAATTCCAAAACTGTCTTGAACAATTTGAAATCACAAACTAGTATCAACACCAAATAATCCTAAATTATTCGGGATTTTTTCTAATTTGTCCTGGACCAATTTGAAAAATCTTTTAACCTTTTTGAATGATTTGGATAGTGTTTTACGGTTATAAGTTAGTTCCGGACTGTTTTAAATGGTTCTAGTTTGTTCGCAAATGGTTCTAAATGATTCTGAACAGTTCTAAAAGGTCCTGAACACTTCCAAATAGTTCCAAAACAGTACTAAACACTTGCAAGCACACTTGTTCAGTTATCACACCATCTCTTTCCCTCATAAGGGGTAATATAAAGGTCAAATTCACTCTTTCTCGCACTCGTGTTAACCCTATATCCACAATGCCGGTATAAAAAACGTTAATTTAGTATTTAACCTTTCTAAAAATATTTCCAAACAACTTCGTTTAATCATTTTGACAATCCTTTATATTGAATGCCACACTAATAAACACTCCTGCACGGTTAAATGTCAAAACTAAAAACGCGTTGATGCTGCTCGAGCTTAGTCGACTGAGTAAATTTTTTCAATGCAAAAAATTTCCGAATAACAATGCAGGAAAAAATGAGCTAGTACCCATCAATCCGGAGAAAGTAAGAGTACCAACATTAATTAGGAATTTGGGAAAATCCTCGCTCTGTCAACAATGCCTAGTTTATATCGGAGTTCGCTTTGTTTCATATTAATTATAATGGAAACGGTGGGAAAATCTCGGGAAATTAACGCCGGAGAAAGACGAGATGGTGAAGCAGTGAAAGTGAGATAATTAAGAGGTCGCTTTCTTGCATTGCAGGAATTATTTCTTTACTCTTAATTCATCCGTTAACGGACGGATTCCATTATGACATTGCTGCGAATCGACGCGTAATTACGAATAATTGTGAGTAATTGCATTACTCTATTAAATCCTGTCGATAAGAAATTCCTATCAAAAATACATACTATATGAATTTATTTTCTTCGTTTCTCAGTCTGTCATTTAAACTTACATTTAACATTCATCGATTAATTAAATATACATTTTACGTGTAATTTTAGGTAAAGTTCGTACGTTTTAAAATGATAATGACCTCACGAGCCAGCCTGTTGCAACGTTGCCGGGTTGTAATCGAAATCTTTTATATGACAGATACATTTAATTTATAAGTTATGATTACTTTCAATGTTTACAAAAAGTCCTACATCTACCGATCTACAGAGTGTGGAAATTTCAAGTTTTTTGTTATTTTTTGAGCAGCTCCTGCAGTTTTTAGATATTTAGCTCAAATTTGGAATCTATAACGCTGGGAATCATTTAGAACGCCCCTTAGAACTGTTTAGAATCATTTAGACCGCTACAAAGTCATTTAGAACTGTCGAGTATCATTCAGATTGCTCCAAAATCATTTACAACACATAAGAATCATTTAGAACGCTCCAGAATCATTTAGAATGCTCCAGAATCCTTTACAACTGCCTGGAATCATTTAGAATGTTCCAGTATAATTTAGAACTGTATAAAATCATTTAAAACGTTCCAGAATCATGAACTGACTAGAATCATTTACACTGCTCCAGAATCATTTAAACAGCTCCAGAATTATTTAGACCGCTCCCGAATTATTTAGAAGTGTCTAGAATCATTTAGATCGTTCCAGAATCATTTAGAACTGTGTGGAATCATTTAGAAGGCTTTAGGAAAATTTAAACTGTCCAGAACCATTTAACACTCTCCAGAGCCTTTTAAAACCTCATTTTAGAACGTTCCAGAAAAAGACAAAAATCACTGGGAACAAATTGTAGTCAAAATGTATGGCAACTACAAATAGTGGAATTTTGAGATTTTAACGATATTAGCAAAATTAACACTAGGGAAGTGTAATTCTTTATGTGTAATTTTAGGTAGTATAAGAAAAGTGTAATTAATTTAAAAGGGATAAATTACAAAACATTCGAAACGAGTAATTAAAAACTCGTAAATCACTAATAGGAAACCGTTTTGCACCTAAATAAAATCTATCAAAGTTTTTTATCAAGATTTGTGTTGCTTTAATTATCATGAAAATAAATTAATTAAAGGCCAGCCGGTCGGTATAATTGTGCGAAATATACTTTCACATTTTACATACCGGCTATTAGCGATATAACAATAAATCGGGACAAGATTACCGACAGAGGCGTTCAGCAACAATTAAACAAATTGAGAAAATTATTATTTTTTCAATTAGATATCTAATAAATAATTAGAGAAACTTTTTCTAGTACTTAAAATTGCGATAAACTGTTTGTTTTGATATCGGATTTTCTAAGATTCTTCACTTTCAATATCATCGTATAGAGAATTTTCTCCTATTCATTTTGATGCAAATTATTGCATTTTATTGCATATAAGATTAATTGCACCGCCTCTGGATACACCAGTAAACCGCACCGCAGAGTGCGCAAAGAGAACGATTAGTTCACGTGATAAAACAATTAAACGGAAAATCAAACAACCATGAAAAACTGGAACAAACTGGAAAAACAGTTAGCACCAGTAATTCGGAAGTTCTCGTCGAATTTTCGCCGTGGAAAGTACCAGTTCAAAGCACTCTTCGAAATTCGTTAACAATTATGATAGCGAATCAAGTGATGTATGAATCCGGTCGTCGATTGTTTTTTCGCATCGTAACGCCGTCTAGTCAGCCTCGAAATAATTCGATTGCCAAACCTACGACTACTAATAATAATCTAATGGTTAAATCTATTGTTTGTTTAAGTGATTCGTAAGTACGCTTTTGTCGCCCGAAGGCGTGTTTTGGAAACCAATTGCAACAAGAAGTTGTTATATAATCTAAATAACTTTTGTAACTAATTTATACCGGGTCGGTCTGTAGAGTTTTGTAGATTATTACTGAAATAATCTACTTTTCAGATGATTTTACAAGTAAATTTGATGATTTTTATGAGATTATTTTGTGGATTTTTATACAGGGTGTCCCAATGAAAAGTAGTCCCTTTAATGAGCTTATAATTTTTAAACGCCCAATCAAAAAAATGGCGGTTTTCTCAAATATGTTTTATTTTATTACAATTTTTGTTACAGTGATACAGAAATTATGCATTACCATTAAACTAAGCTTTATCAAAATCTCCTCTTTTATATTCACAATAACCATTTTTTTAATGGAATACCCCGTATATACAGAGGTATTGTGAAAGATATACTCTTCTACTTTTCAAAAATGTATTATTTGTACATGTTATTCTACAAAAAAAGATGTCCTATTTCATAAAATTTGGTTAATGTGAATTTAAAAGAGGTGATTTTTATGAAACACCTTGTACAGGCGATACAAAGTTGTCATTGTAACAAAAAGTTATAGAAAAATAAAATAAATCTGCGAAAACCAAAAGTTTTTATGATTAGACGTTTTAAAATTATTAGCTCACTAAAGGGACTACTTTTTATTGGGACACCCTGTAGATGGATTCACTCATTTTATGATTTTTCAGGTGTAGTATCTATTTACAATATTTCACTAAATTAGTCGATTTTCTGAAAAAATCTAAATAATCGTCTGAAAATTGATAAAAAAATATTTTAAATAGTCCTGAAAGAATTCTAAATGGTTCTGGACTTTTCTACTTTATCCTGGATCGTCCAAATGTTTCAAACAGTTCTGAATCAGTTCAGAATGGTTTTTAGATAGTTCGAATAGGTTCTAAGATCGTTCTGAACTGGTTCAAATGGTCCTGGTTAGTTCTGAAATGGCTCTAATTGATTCTGGACTGTTCTAAATAGTTTTGAATGGTTCTAAAAGATTCTAAAATGCTCCTAAACAATTTTAAAACAAGAGTAA